CCAACACCTAGTGTACATAATTTTTACTGTTTAGGCACTTAAAAATGTATGGTTACCATTGCCAACATTTGAGTTTCCTTTAAACCAAAAAAATAAGAAAAGAGGTTTAAAATTCCAATATAAATGGTTGCTTCAATTTAATTGGCTTGCTTACTCAAAAATAAAAAATGGTGCTTATTGCAAGTTTTGTGTAGTATTTTCAAAATGTGGTGGAATAGGGAATCAGCCTTTAAATAAATTGGTATTAGAAGCATTTGATGCATGGAAAAAAGCTCTTGAGGTAATACAGTATTTACAGTTTTTATGAATAAATTGTTTATATTATTAAGTGTGTTTGATGTTTTAATAGACATTTCGTAAACATTCAAAATGTAGTTACCATAAGTCTGCTGTTCTTAATGCTGATCATTTTGTTAGTATATATACAAAACAACAACCATCAATTATTGAGGCTGTTGACACTGATAGGTATGTAAATAAAATACTCAATCATAATATTAAATTAAATAAGTTATAATACAAATTAAGAATATTTTTTTAGATTAGCTAAAATAAAAGAAAATAGAGCAAAACTTATACCTATAATTGAATGCCTTATATTATGTGGACGTCAAGAAATCGCTCTAAGGGGACATAGAGATTCTGGAAAAATTAATGTCAATGGTCAGTAATCATTAATGAGTATCTAAAATCTATTTTTAATATTTTTAATATATTATTTTATCAAACTTTTTTTTGCAGATGATTCAATTAATGATGGAAATTTCCGTGCTATTCTCAGATATAGAGGAAAAGGAGATGAATTTTTAAAAAAAAATCTAGAAAATGATTATCGTTACAAATACATTGGGTCCAAAATTCAAAACGAAATGATCATTGCATGTTCGAAACTGTTTAGGCATATTGGAAAAAATGTATGTGTTTTTTAAAACTCCAAAGCGTAATAATGCATTGTTAATTGCAATCGATGAAGGTGATTTTGAACCTAAAATCAGAACACTTAAAAGACTTTGTGCCACACGCTGGGTGCAGCGTTATGATGCTGTGAACGATTTTGTTGAACTATTCCCTTGTGTGGTGGCTGCATTAGAAATAATTACAGAATGGAACGACAGTACTGCCACTGATGCTGCCATATTATTAAAAGCTATTGATAGTGAATTTTTGATCTCACTTCAAATTACAAAAGTAATTTATTTATTTTAATTTTCTAAAAAATAAAGTTTTAAAGTTATTCTTATAATCTTTTTAACTAAACTTCATTTGTTACAGTTTTTATTTTCCTATGGACTGCCACTATGTAAGCAATTACAATCCAAAAAAATTGACTTAGTAGAAGTAGTTTGCCTTGCCGAGGCTATAATTTCAGCACTTAAGAATATTAGGATTAATATTGAACAAGAATTTAATAATATATTCTTAATGGCAGAGGTAATCAAAGTCAATTAATAAATTTTATATTTAATTTTTATCAAACAATTTCTAAACACAATATAATGTAATTTAGGAAATGGCTAAAGTTATCAGCTTAAATCTATCAGTGAAAAGAATTACAAAAATACAAACCAATCGTGCAAATCCATTTACAGATTCTGATAATAATAAAATATCAAACATAAATGTTGAACATTATTATCGAACTACAATATTTATTCCATATTTGGATTTCTTTATTGCACAATTAGAAGAAAGATTTACTGCACACAAAACTATTTTTAAAGGTTTTTCTTTTTAACTAATATTTAGTACTAATTATAATTTTTACTAATTTATAAATTTAAATAGGATTTGAGACTATTTTTTCAAAAAATCAGTTCTTAAATGCAAGTGAAATTGAATCCTTTAAAAATCTGGCAGAGTTTTATTCACCGCATGTAAATAAAGACAACAGTTTGGCTGAACTGAAAATATGGCGAACAAAGATATTGGACAATTCTGAAGTCATTAAAACTGGCCTAGATGCTCTTCAACTCTGCAGTTCCTCTATTTATACAAATTTGAATAAGTTACTAAAAATTTTATGTGTCCTACCCGTTTCAACATCCACCCCAGAAAGAACGTTTTCAACATTAAAGAGGGTGAAGACATACACTAGAAACTCAATGCTTGAAGTACAATACTCTTTAACTTATTAGTTTAACCGACATTCAATATTTACTTGCATTTTATTTTAGGACCGTTTGAATGGATTAACGTTGTTGGCAGTACATAAAGATACTAGCATTACTCCAGATGAAGTCTTGGATGAAATGTCTATGAAGCCAAGAAAACTTGATCTTATACTTTAAGTCTTTAGATCTATACTTTTATTATGTCCGATTATAAAAAATAAAATATTTTATAAAATGTTAATTTTGAATATGATTAGCTCTATATCTAGTATTATATCATATAATATATATCAACCTATTTCTAAAATATCAATATATAAGAACATTTTGTGTATATGACAATAAACAAAACAAGATACAGTTTATCCCCCCCCATTAGAAAAAGCTGAGCACGCCCCTGATTATAGGTATGAGAAGAGATAACAAGAGGTCGCGGTAGTGGTGGCCAATCTCAGTACAGGAACAGTAAGTATATATATTATAATTATAATACTTTCTAATTAATAGTAATTGTTGAGCTATAATGGTTTTATACCGAAAGCTAATAAAAATAAAAAAAAATAAAAAATACCTTCTAATTTGTTTTTATAGTCTACTTCTATCTACGCAAATGTTATATTCAGGTGCATCAATTACGCATGTACCTAATACATACACCACATTCACAATGCCTAAAACATATTCTTTAACAACTTTATTGATTTGACCATAAAATTTTTTATAACTTTTAAATAATTTATACTTATTGCTGTATTCAGTGTAACCAGGGAAAGGAGGTTAGAGATTTTATCTATCTGTTCATTGTCAATTTTTTAGTAGATCTATAGAAAATAACTATTTCAAAATGTTCGAGTGGTATATACTTTGGTTATGTTCACTTTGTCTAACTTGACATAAAAACGTATTATTGATTTTGTATTTCATACCATTGATTAAATATACATATATTTAATCAATGTTCATACTTATTACTATGAATTGTTCAGTTAGTGATGTTGTTTTATTATCTAGTTACATTGCTCTTCGTATAATATTATAACATCATATTTTAAAATGCCTTTTCAAAATCTGCTGTATTAAATGATTCCTTTATAGAAATGTGGGCTTTCTGAAATTTTTTAAATTAATAAAACCAATCAACAATTTATCTTGTATATGTTCTAATTTCAATTCCTTTGATGTTCTAGAATGCATTGTATGTGGAAAACGAGGCCACAGTGCTGCTGACTGCTGGTTTAGGAAGCCAGCAGCAGCAGCATCGGAAAAAGGCGGTGGTTCAGCGATAGCAGCCAGAGCTGCCAAAGCAGCTAAGGCAGCTGAAGCTGCTATCGCCTTAGCAGCAAAGCTGCAGCAAGAGGCGGTTCTGGCTGCTGCCGCCGAAGTGCAGCAGGCAACAGCAGCCGCTACAAGAACTATAAATGTTTTTTTTTAATAAAAATGTTGTTTATTAAATATATGTTTTCAATTTTATTCCTGGTCATCATTAGTATTTACAAACATTTATGTTCAAAACAGTACATACATAATCGATATTAGGTAACTTGAATTATACTTTTATTGTTTTCGTTTAAAATTGTAATGGTTACTAGTTTAACACTATATACATATTTTTAATAATTTATTAACTAAAAATGGACATGGATGGCACATTATTACTTTTAGGTTGGTGGTAGTTTATGTAACAACATCCAGATTGTATCAAGAAGAGCTGACAGAGGAAATACCTTGTGTTTCAATCAATCAATATTTAAAAAATTTTTTATTTTTTATTTTTTAGAACTTTTAAATATCAATATTTTTTTTGATTAAATTAATTTGGAACTTATGAACAACTTTTTTTAAAATATTACTTTTGAGAATTTGCTGACTGAGTATATTTCTAAAATTATTTACTTATCACATATTTAAAATTTTTTATTTTACATTTAATTAACGTAATTTTTTTCTGTCTGGTTGTCCTGTTACACCCAGCACAATATATCAATTTATAAACGGTAACATATAAATGATTAGAGGTGGTGGCCGAGGTGGTGGCCCCAGCATAATGTGTCAATTTATAAACAGTAACATATTATAAATGAACAAATAATTAAACCAGTAGGGATCACTTTCAAACTAGGTACAAGTAATACAATATTGGGATGTGTAAATCATTTATATATTATATATTAATTAAATATTAGGTAGGAAATATTAATTATTATAATATTATACATTTAAATTATTATTTAAAAATTGTACTTTCCATTGAGTAATAGGAAGGAAGAATAAGAGAATGTTAAAACACTTGTATTACAAGATGTAGTCGTATTACAATATGTAGTCGTATAAAAAAAAAACTAATTCATAGGTTTAGAAACCTAAAATTAAGAAAAATAACTACTTCAAACAATGAAATGTAACCCAACTCTATCAAATTAATAATTCTTAAACAAATATAACTTGTAATATTATTTAATAGTTTGATTAGTTTATACGCCATTATATTATTATATTTGAAACCAATTTCATGTATTAGTACAATAATTAAATATTTTCATCCGGATATTTCTATACATGATACTCCTCTCCCCTCCTCAGTGCAACTAGATCAAATTTGCTACCAAAACAACCATCAAAGTTAAAATCGAAGTATTGTTACTGCTCCTAACAGCGATGCCAGATACAAATAAAAAAAATATTAAAAAACACAAAATTTTAAAATTACCACATAAATTTTCTTTGCTTAGAATCTAAAATCAATTTTTATTTTAAAAATTTAAAAGGTTGGTTGTTGCTTTAGAGCAACATTATGCAATTATAACTACAATATATTATACAATACATTAAAATATTGAAATGCATTTAAATTTTAATATTTTTCTTTTTGTTTATTAAATAAAAATCAAATTGTATTACAATAATACAATATTACATAATTTTAAAAATGTAATTGAAGAAAATAAAAATTAATTTATGTTTTCTAATTTTAGATCTTGTTTTGAGAGAGGCAAATCTGCATTTTCAATAATCTTAAACAAGCAATACAAAATACATATGATAATAAACAATTGTATAAATGTGTGACAATTAAGTAATAAATAAGAAGAAAGCATTACCATTCTTGAACCATCTCTTAATTGAACTGCAATGTGTTTGCCAGGTACAATCTGTAAGCCAGTAAATGTATTTATGTGGATGCAAATATTTGACATCCACTGAAGAATGCGAGCTTTGGAACATTTGAATGCAATATCTCTAATTTCGTGGTACTAAAAAAAAACATTAACTAAAGAAAAAAAAAACAACCAAGCAATCTGTATTGCTGTATAGTAGATTATTTTAATGGATGTGACTATGTGAGAAATATGAATTCAATAATACATTGTTAAATAACACTTGCAATGTACGTTTAACAAATAATTATATTTTTATCAACCAAAACATAAACATTAACACAAGGATAGGATTCATGTTTCAAGTATTTAAAATATACTGTTTTGAATATCGTATTCATGTAGTTTATCCCATAAACAATGCATATTCATAAAGATATAATTTAAAAACCAAGTTATTATTTGTAAAGTGAACAGTTTAAATTATTTAAATAGTGAAACATATCAAGTAATTGCCGAAAACATCATTTATTATACAACATACAATAAGATATTATACATTTTATTATGATAGTTAAAAATAATCAAAATAACATTACCATACAGCCGAGACCAAGCCCATACATTTCAGATTTTAAAATGTCATGAACTGACATCCCTGGTCTTAAATTACGTTGATCCAAGTGTAAGTTCACTTTTTTTTTGATTTCCAACAATAATCTCTCAAGACTCCCTATTTTGAATATACACTTAATATGTTCAGCATCAACTATAAAATATAATAAATATTTTAAGAGATAAAGGTTACATCAAGATTAAAAAATCAAATATATTAGTCATAAATTATTTTACCATATTTAACATTTAATATTTAAACTTTAATCATTATTCATATAATAACCTACAGGTATATTACAATTCTGAGTAGAGGCATTCAGTCATCCTAGCATACTCTATGTATAAATAATACAATTTAATAAATACAAATTGGAAATATCCAATGGTCCATGACTATAGAAATAAGTCTATAAATAGCATAATTTCCAGTTAAACTTTTTTTTTGTTAAATGTAGAAAAACTTCTGAGGAATCTTCTATTAAAATTTCTAAGTTATGAAAAGAAAAATAATTTTAAAATTATCATTATTTTAATGAAATATGTCAAAATTTGCATTTTAAGAGAATATAAAAAATAATCATGCCTATGAACTCCATTTTCAAGCTTTTTTACCAAGTGAAAAAGTTTTTATCAAAAATAATTTAAAATTTAAAAAAATTTAATATAAAATTCGGGAATGTTACTAGTTTCTAAGTTAATCCAAAAAAATAAAATCAATTTAAAATTAATATTTTTTTGGTTTTCCTAGATAGAATCAAAAACAACAGAGAATTTTAATTACCAAAAATGTTGATGACAGAAAACAAAACACTTACATACCATAACAAATATAATACATTCATTCGCTACTCTGACAACCCTTATATAATGTTTAATATAAACCTTTATTTTATTATATAAATTTAATTATTTCAAATAGTTTTCATATACTTGTTAAAAGTTTCTCAACCACTACTTAAAAGGATATTATATCATCACATAGTCAGCGGAGTTCATTTAGAGTTATAGCTTTAAAATAATAGTGAATCGACATAATTTATCAAACTGAAAAGTAAAAAGGCCTACAGCGAGTCACTGTAATGGATGTGTTAAATTTTAATTCAATGATATAAAATCGAGGTATACGAAAAATGATTCTGAGCAAAGATGGTATGTTTTGAAACTACAAAAAAATAACTAAAATCATTATTCTCTGTTTATTTGAATAAACAGTTTTGTCTAAATTTGAAACTAAAGTATCTATTAAAAGATACTGTATTTATTAACTTTATTGATTTTTTGGTTACAGTATCAACTACTTATAAGAAAGCCTGTTCAACATTTTAAATCCTTAGAAATAAAAATTGAAAAGTTTATAGATTTTTACTACAAAATAATTTTCAAATTTCCCAGATTTTGATAAATTTTAAATACTTAAAAAAAGGGCCTATGCATTATAAACATTTTTCAACAGCTACTATAACAACTGGGGAACTTTTAATTCAATTTTTAAGCTTTTTGACCCAAAATTTTTTTTTTCAAATTTATAGAAAAAAAAACATAAAAATTTTAAATGACAAACAATAACTTAAAAATAGTCAAAATATTTAGAAAATTTTATAATATATGGAAAATGATAAAATCAACATTTGTTGAACATTCCAAATATTTATGGTTATTTGTTTTTGAGATACAAGTAAATAAAAAAAATCATCCCATGAGTAATAGTTAGTTTACTGACAATTGAATTCTATGTAAAAACTTAGAACATAAATATAATTATTTAAAAATTAATTTTATTCTTTGGAAATATTTTTTTTTTAAGTAGAACTTATGATGAATCTCTTATTACATTTATAACCTCAAATAACCGTTTTTTTAAATGTCAAAATATTTGCTACACTAACTTCAGACGCTCATAAAAAATTATTCTGGATTTACCTTAATTTTTTTTTTAAATTACCATTTACTACAACTTCATTAAATTGTCAAGTTTTTTGACAGCGTGTTATTTGCAATAATAAAAATAAAAATTTTCTTATGTTTATAAATAGCTAAGAGAATATTTTGAAAATGTATCTTTTATTATTTGTTTAGGGTTACACTAAAAACCAATTTCCTCAAAAAATGATTTGGTACACTGTTTATACGTAGTTATGTGAAGGATAGTTGGACTAACCTGACACTGAAGTGGCATATCTTTATGTAGATGATGATTCAATTTCATAAATTTATAATAATTAAAGATAAAAATAAAGTTATATTAATTTGAATTACCTTCCGGAAAAGCTGTGGAGTATAGTCTTTCCAAGCTACTTTTAGTTTTCATCATATCTACATCAATGTCTGACTCTACAGTGTATACATAAGGAAGGTCCAGTGTGCCTTCCTGTAAATCTGTATAGGTGGTTCCATCCTAAAATAATACAATTACTATTGATCAAATATCTGTATAATTATTGCATTTACCTTTAAAAATGTTGTAAATTCCAATAGTATATTTTGATAATCGTCTGGATGTTCGTGCCAACAAGAAATTTGATGAAATTCGTCAGAAAATTGTCTCATACCTCCAGCAAAACCTCTTGGGTAAATTTTAGCTATGAACAAGAATTGAGTTAAGTTTGGTTTAAATAAAAAGATTTTACTTTCAAGGCAATTTACAATTATTTAGATTAAAGAGTCCGCATCAAATAAAATAGAAGTTGATATTTTCAGTAAAACCGTTTTGGTGATTAGAATCGAAATTTCTATAAATGTAAATTGGTTACATTTGGTTTACCTTTATGATGAACAAAGATCAGGGAGTATGTTTTACTATTAGTTTTAAGAATTATACAGTAAAATAACTTAAATATAACACAATAATGTGATATTTTTTGACTTCTAAGAGTTATAATCAATTAATTTTTGTAAGAAATCCTCATCAAATTATTAAAAATTAAATAAATATTTGTATTATAATAGTTAAATCTTTGGTTAAGCGAAAAAAAAAAATGCATTTTAAATGACAAGGCCTTAACTTCATAAGCGTGCTCACTGAGTAGTCAGGGAAGGCATTTTATAATATTTAATCAATAATCTTATTATGATCGAAATAAATTAGAAAAATAATTAGTGTTTATAATCTAAGGCAAAAGCGTATATTCTGGGAGGGGGGTACATGAGGGACAATTGCCCCGGCAGCAAATTTCACACAGGTGTTGAAAGTTTTTTTTACGGAAGAGAAAAATTACCACTATAAAAACTTGTGGGGGGGGAAGGCATTAAAAATATTGTGTACCCTGGGCAGCTTAACCCTAAGTACGCCACTGATTTAGGTGCGAACAAGAATATTATATTACTTGCAGGGGTTTTACCTGGTCTGCGCCCGGGTCGTCAGTCGATTACCTATTATTAACATTTATGTTTATTTTTATAGATTTATATAGTTCATTATTATAAATCCGGTAGAGCGCGATACTATTAGTTTTTTCTTTTTTATATAAAACAGTGAGTTTCAATTTTATTTATATTGAATATTAATCCGTTAGACCGCGCCACTAGTAACAACCTTATACCTTTACTTTGTGTGGCCGAAAGGTATATCCCCAACAAAAACATAACAGTGAAAAAAGGCCAAGTTCCAAACTCCCTCCCAAAGAAGTCGGCCTATCAAAGTAGTGAAATCTACATTGTAGCCAAGTCTGCTATTTTTTAATTCATAACCTCACTGCACTCCTACATTAAAGAGCAACACTTCTCTTTTATTTGTATTGTTTAACACTTAGTCAGTTTCTGAATGAGGAATAAACTAGACTTGGCCGCAATGTAGATACCACTACTCTATGATTCGCTGTCTTTTTTGAGAAGAAATCTAAACCTTTTACTTTTTTCTGAATCTTCTTCTCCCCATCACCCTCGTAAGTCATAAGTGAGCACATTCGATAATGATGTTTTATTCCTCATTCAGAAACTGACCAAGTGTTAAACAATACAAATAAAAGATAAGTGTTGCTCTTTAATGTAGGAGTGCATTGAGGTTATGAATTAAAAATAGCAGACTTGGCCAAAATGTAGATTTCACTACTTTGATAGGCCGACTTTTTTGGGAGGGAGTTTGGAATTTGACCTTTTTTCACTATTATGTTTTTGTTGGGGATATCTTTATTTTTGCGGGCTTCAGCGTCGTGGACGACGTGTTGTTATTATTTATTTATTTTTATTTTTTTATACGTTTTAGATTTTCTCTTGAAAAACCGTTTGGGTTTCTGTTGAGGAGCTGAGAAATTGGACTCTAGTCAATACCAGGCAAAGATACCCAAGTACGGTCTTTTATTTAAAAGCTGCAGTTAATAGCTGAATATTTGAATAAAATAAATGTACGAAAACATGATTATGTTTTATAAATATATATATAATTCAATTCAAACAATTTCTTATTACCATATTGTAACGCTGTTTGAAAGTAAACGTTTATGCGTGCTAAGCGCGCCACTTCATACGTTTAGAAATACACACTCTGGAGAGGCATTCAATTTTTAGATTTTTCCCTTTAGTTACACTGTAAAATCTACTTTTGTGCCAAATTTCACGTTTCTACCTATACCCTATACGGGAAATGTCTTATAATTTTGATGATCAGTGAGTGAGTGAGTGAGTGAGTAACAATATTGCAAATTTTGAAATGGCACAATATTAAAGGCATTTTTTCTTACAGCGTACTAAGCTACTAGAGGTTAATCTGTGTGTTAAATTTTAAAAGTTTATCTTAAGAAGAAACAGAGATATATGGGTTAGAAAAAAGGGGCGAATTGGTTCGTGTAAAGATACACTGGCATTGCTGAAACTTGGCCTAGCGCACTGCCGTGCGCTCAGATTTTGTAATTTTAATATGGATACTGACCTTACCCTGATCCGGTTGAATAGCTATATTTAATTTCAAGCAAATCGAACGAGTAGTTTAAAAGATTACTAGTAGGAAAAATAGTGACATCCGTTTTTATTTATATAGATTTACGCGTGTGTGTTAATATGTTATGAATGACTATTGACTACCCCGCCAGAAATGTCTGGACACGCTTATGCTTGACTTAATAATTTTTTCACACATTTCTGAAAGGTCACTCCCAACCATTACATAATGTTACATAGTTATGGCACAGATATCTTGTATAATACAATAAAATAATCCTACGAGACATCTACTACAATATTTTAAATACTTACAAAGACCAATAATTTGATGATATGTGCGAGAGACACCATTTAATAAATTAAATTCCAGTGCAGCGATTTCAGCAGGAAAATAAAACTGCTCCCCATTATGAGTATGACAATTTATGTGCAATAAAATAAAGTTCTTATTAAATAATTCTGAAACATTAAAATTATTGTTGTGCAGGTATACATCAAATATGAAATAAATTTAAATTTAAAATTATTATGAGAAAATAATAATTTGTATAATAATTTATAATAATAAAACAATTAAAATAATGTAGTACACAAAGAATCATCAAATTTTAATGATTCAAGGATTAACACTAGTGTGAGGGGATGTGGGGAAACCATATTATTAGTATTTAAATATTAATGGAGACTTCCATCATACATTTAAAATAATTAAAATTTCAATATAAATTATAACTAAAATTGTGGCCCTAATTATGGTTTATAAACAGGATGTCCACTTATTTAGGAACACACAACTTCTCTTCCAGATTATGTTGGATTTAATATTTTTGACAGTTTAAAGATGGAGGTACCAACTATAAATTTATAGTAACATTTTAAAATTGTTGGACTTCCCAGTGTGTGCATGCCCAGTAAAACATTTTTAAAAAATAATATTTATTTTTATATTTTAAAAAGCCTATTTATTAGTAAATTTGGTTCAATAACTAAGTAAAAAAAAAAATCAAAATTTGATTTAATTTAAATCTAATTAAATAAAAAAGGTTTTTTCTGAATTTGTAAACACTGTTATCATTTATAGAACTTGGCACTAATTTAATGATAGTACTTACCCTGATCGTTAGGTATACATTCAAACATTTTGTTTAAATATTTCTGCATGTTCCAATAATCATAGCTATTATTGTGCAAATCACTAATCTGTTTCATCTGTATTCAAATACAATGTAAAGTGTCTTAATTAGAATTTACAGAATAACTTAATAACTAAATTATATTAAATTGAACAATGAAAAAAACATTATAATAATAATAGTAGCAATTACTACAATACTTATATATCAAAGAGAAAATAAATCGAATTCAGTATTAACAAAAGTACCATTATTTAAAGTATTAATTGGGGAGAACACCATACACCTAAGACATTTATGAGGAATATAAAATAAACCGAGATGTCTTATACTATGGTGATTGTGAATTATCTATTTTGTTCTGTATATTTACTAAGATCATATATTTTCAACATATCTGCATTGATCCTAAGGCAGTTACAGAAAATTGCTTTAGTTTCAAAATTATGATTAAATATTCAACACCTTAACTACAACTAGTATGGCATGGGTTTTAGTTGAAGCTAAGGTTGACAATTGCTGTAATAAACTGTGGACTACGATTGATGATGAAAAAGATAAATACAAAGTTTTCGCATGTATATAATGCAATAAATAAGTTATTGAATAAATATTGTTGCCTATGAAAAAATAGTAAACAGTTTCATGATCAATAATAATGAAACAAAAAATATATACATAGTGTGGTAGAGATGAATGAATGATTTCAATTAGAATTTATCATTTATGTTTCTTTAAAGTGTACCAACTAAAAGAGTGACCATTATATCTCAAACAAACTTTTCAGGAATGTTTGGATTAGTGTTACATTGTAAAATGTTGTTACCAATGAATTAAGTACCTAGTTCAATTTACTGGGTTCAGTAAGCCATTGATTCACAATAGTTTCTCTGATTTTATTTCAAGGGTAAACTTCTACCAAGAGCAATTCTAATTATTAAAAAACTTTTAAAATTAAATTGTTCATGTCAAGAACTAACTAAATAAATATTATAATTTGTTTGTATCAGAAATAAAATCATACTCTTTATTGCATATTTTATTGGTTAACTAACTAGGTATACGTCATTTTCCATACTAATTAAACTGAATTTTTTTAATTATCATTCAATTATAAAAACATGAGAATCCTGAATCATATTATATAATTTACGCGATCATCAAGACACGTAATAATCGTGTTTATGGTCCTCCAGTTAGTGACCCCTAGTCTACAGCATTAAATGCATGCAACTTATATGTTATGGGTTATGATATAGTGAATACATCTCATATATATTATGTTGAATATTATAAATGTTAGTATAATGTTTACCTATGATACTGAAGTGTGTGCCACGACCAAATAATTAGTAGGAATAGTGATTATAAAATGATGTACTATATAAAGTGCACTAACAACGAAACTGATATAATAGCAACAAGTTTGTACAAAATAACGTAGGTTTGCAAGTTTTGTCAATGCTATAACGAAGTCAAATACGTAACCTTAGGAAGGATGTATTATCGCACGAAAATTTTAAGCGAAAAACATACGGAATTAATCATGTCACCGTCAGCACGTAAATCGAAAATTGAAACATTTAAGTTTGCATCATTAAACAGTATAATTAAAATTAACTTGCATACTTTACCTTCGCTAAATTTCAAATAATAATACACGTTCTCTTAAGTTGTAAAATGCAAGTGAGATATGACACTCCGCTTATCAATTGAACGAAAAATGTACACCAGTTGAGATTGCCACCATGAGCGCTAGCTACCCTCAGAGGGCCGAAATCAAGGTGTATACTATATTTATAATTATTATAATTACAATTCCTTTCCTTACTGGCTTACTAGTTCTTATAATCTCTTATAATCTAATACTCAATATTTTTAAATTTAAAAAAAACAATGCCACTCAGGTGCTTTGTACCTGGTTGTGACACTGGCTTGATTACTGATCGCAAAATGTTACAGAATGAAGGAAAAAAATATCCTTCGATATTCCATCCCCCTGAGGTAATAGATAAATAAATCGTCATATTAAAAACTAGAAGTGTCTAACTGTTACTTGTTAGTATAACAACAAACCCATTATATAAGTAGATTGTAGATGTTAACTGTTAAGTATTTGTTAGTTGTTGTCTGTTGACTGTTGTAGTATGTGTTTTCAAACGAATATTAAGTCTTAAATACCTTACTGTTGAGTTATTTTTGTATTTGATTATAGAATATTCTTTATTTCATTAGTATTTGAAAGGCAAAATTTAGGTTTTCAAATGAGCCAATTTTAATACACTCTAGTTTTGTAGAAAATGGTTGATATTTGGAATAGAAAAATACCAAGAGCAGATAAAGTCCGCCTTCAGACTTGTAGGCACCTTATAAAGTTAGTTGTACGGCTAATCCACTTTGGCATATTAAAAAAAAAAATCCTCAAATGCTCGAATACTAATTCAGTATGAATGTACCGTCATCTGGGTGACTTGAAACTTCGGTGTATAGATAACACTAACATAAATATTTGGTCAACAAGAATTCGCGAGTACGGCTTAACGGCGTCAAAAAGTTAGTGATGCGTAGCTAATAAACAATAATTTCTCATAAAGTCTTATTTTCCCTATTCGCGGTGAAATTGATTTGATATGAGGGTTATCGACAATTTCGTGTTATTGCATATTACGGTATGGTGGTAGTGCGGGATAATATCTCATATACCTTCTTAGGTCTAGTTACGATCTGTCTTTTCTGTTCCGGACGCCTAGTAAGTAACGTGTATATTTTATTAATCTTTTAAACAAATGCTGTTTAGTTCCCCCTCGCCATTACGATACGTCGCGTATGCCATATGGTACGCGTCCATATGAAACGAGGTGGTGTTTCGGAACAAGTCTAGACTGGATTTGGTGCCACAGCAATTTTTTGAAGTATGCAAACAATTATTCCTCTCAGAGTGCAATGAAATTGGTTCACTACTAAATGTTGAAAGTGGGAACTCTGAAGTATCAGAAAATGAAAGTGAGGATGATTCTTATAATTCAATATTACCCAGTTCTCAATCATCTGGAAGTTTTGATAGTTCTTGTAACAACATGGCAAGTGTACAGGGCTTATAATATTTAAATTCAAAAAAAAAAAGATGGAGGGAAAGACTTGACAACACTAGAGAATTATCCGATTGTGAAACAGATATTTCTCAAGTATAACCAACACTTCCTTCTTCTGCACCGGTGGAACGTCTTTTTAGTAGTGGGAGTCAGATTTTGGCTCCTTGGAGGAACCGGTTAAGTGATAAAACATTTGAAATGTTACTTTGTGTAAAATCAAATAAAATAAATTGTTAATTTGTATTTCAATTGCATTTCACTTGTAAGTATTAAATAAAGATATTTAAATGTTGGTGGTATTCAAGTATAGATATCTATTACATTAAATATAGATGTATGTTTGTATAATAATTATAATATAATTTAATATACTAATATATTGAGTATAATACCTGGACAGTGGACACCAAGTAATAAACAAATAATTATTTTATTTTCAATATTAATTCTTTAAATTACAATTTTATTTCAGTAATTGTTTAGTTATCATTTTTAATTTTAATAAAAGGTATTTGAAACTGATTAAAAACTCAATATCTTAAAAAAATTAATTTAATTAATTAATTATATAAAAACATATAATGCTTTTTTAAAAATTATAATTGGATACAAAGCAAAATACAAAAGTATTTTGTGTCTCCGAATTAGTAAAATAATTAAGATAATTTTGAAGGAAATAAATTATAGTGACATAAGTACATAACCTAATACCTACTTTATATTATTTTATTTATAACAAATTTGCCATTTTACAATTAATACAAGCTAAAATTATCTGTTTTTTATCTAGATAAAAGTGGTTATCTTTTATCTATTATCTAGATAAATATTTTAAGTTTTATCTATTATCTTATCTAGATAATTTTTTGGTTATCTTTGCACAACACTGGTCAAATCACTCACATACATATATTAGTTGTTTTTTATTTATTATTTCTATTTCATAGTGTAAAAGCGCATTCGGTGTTATTTTTTTTATTATTTATATTAGCACTGAACGCTAGTAGCGCCAACAATTCGATATATCAAACGTAAACGCTTTAGATTTAATGTCTAATGAAGAAGATAGAGCATTTTTAATTGCCCAGAGACAGAAAGGTCGAACTGGATCATTGCTTGGTATTGATCAAAAAACAAATAAAAAAGAAAAAACCATAGAGGATCGGAAACAAGCGACAAATAAAAGAAAAGATCATGCTCGTAATGAATTTAAAGCTTCAAGTAAGTTTTGAGTCCTGTTGTATATTGTTATAGAGACGCGCTCTGGCGGACTGTGCCAGATAGACGCAACTATTATTATTTTTATGTGCGATGTTACAAGTTGTAATCAGATCATCATATTCATGTCTCATGATGTTACGAATAATAATATANTTTGTCATACATTGGACTTGAAGACCATGGTAATGAATCTACATGTCACAAAGAATTTGCTGACCACGCCTTGGTTTTTATGTGGCAATCATTGGGTTCAAACTTTTCCCAGACAATTGGAGTTTTTGCTTCAAAGGGTGATGTTAAAGGTAAGTTAGTAAAAAAAATAACAATAATTTTATTATTTTGTTAATCAAATTTAATTATAATATTTGTATTTCTAAAAAATTTCAGGTACTTTGTTGGCTCAACTGGTTCTAAAAGCTATAACATTGGTTGAAAATACAGGCATTATAGTGGATGGTATAGTTTGTGATGGAGCTACAACAAACAAAAAAATGTGGACAGAACTCGGTATAAATGGAACGCAAGGAAATTTAAAAAATTATTTTTTGCATCCTCTAAATGAAACAAGGAAGATTTTTGCTTTTTCTGATTTTGTGCACCTTATTAAATGTGTACGGAATCGTCTTTACAATAGCAAATCTTTACGTGTAAGTATTAAAACAATTTAATTTAGGTATTTAAAACTAATACCTACATTGTAAATATTAATTTTTTTTATATTTATTAACTAATGATATTAGTTGCACCCTGATAGCGACAGCGTATCTTGGAAATACTATGAAGAGGTGTATAAAAACGATGTAGTACATCCTGCAAACTTAAGAATGATTCCAAAAATAACTCCCAGCCATCTAAACCTTACTTCTATGTCTAAGATGAGAGTTCGCCTTTGTACACAGGTAAATATAATAAATTAATTTCATTACTTTGTAGTTTTATTTACTTGGACATTAAAATGCTTATGCCAATTTAGTGTGCTGTGATGCATGTTTGTAAGATGGAGACAACACATGCCTGTGTGTAGCGCCATCTTAAAAACTAAATATCTTTAGCTTAATGTGGAAATAAGCTATGGGAACTGCTAATTTTAGTTATATTATTGTATAGTTTAATTTGCTTAATTAAAATGCTTATAACTGAGCTTAGGTTTTCAGTTCAAGTATGGCTTGTGCTTTGCGCTTTTATATGAAAAAAGGTAGCTTAATGCTGAAAGGAGCTACTGAAACAGCTAATTTTACTGAGTATTGGAACAACTTATTTGATAATCTAAATAGAAATTTGCCATGGCAAGGATTAAAATTAGGCGATGATGGATTTGAGGTTTATATCATTTAAATTATTTAAAAAAAATGTATTTACCTAATTAGTCAAATTATTTTTAGAAATTTAAGGATGCCATTAACTACTTGAATTGTTGGGAGAATGAAATGTATGCAGGGCGCATAACACCAAGTGAATTNTACGCTCAATTATGTACATTATTAACCAGACAATTTGCACCAAAAATTTCATTTTTTCGTAAACGCGAAGAATTTTATTCTTTACGTAAGGATTCACATGATACAGTAAATGATTGGTACATTAAAATTAAAAATGCTGCAGCGCAATGCAAATTCGGAAAAAATTTAAATTTTGCATTAAAAGACAAGTTTATCAATGGTCTAAATGATGGTATCATAAAAGACCGACTTTGTGAAGAAGATTTAAATAGAGAATTAAATGAAATCGTTGAACTTGCATTAAAAAAAGAAGCGACAATTAAGACAACGCATAGTACGGCTGACATACATAAGATTGAAAAAAAATTCAAGAGAACCAGCAACTTCAAATCAAAAGGCGGAGGCGGTCAAGGAGGCACGATGCAAAACAGCCAAGCATGTACATCAAAGAAGTCAAATGAAGGTAAGACAGATTCAAATTTAGCTTGTTTCCATTGTAGAAAGAAAAACCATGATTTTTCTAAGTGTAAATATAAAAAGTACAAATGTAAAAAATGTTCTAAAGTTGGTCATTTAGCTATTATGTGTAAAAGTAGTGTTGATGTTAAAAATATTGACATTAAGTCAGATGATGTATTTAAAGAATTTGATTTATTTAATGTTAATAGTAATATTAGTTTTGTACATCCAGAAATTATAAAAGTTAAAGTAAATGGTATTGATGTTGAAATGGAATTAGACTCAGGGGCAACCAGTTCTTTTTTCACTGAAGATATTTTTAATAAAAAATTAGGACATCTTTTTTTAGAGTCATCCAATGTTAATTTAAATTTTATTGACGGTTCAACATCTGAGCCAACAGGTAAATTTAAGGCATTAGTTGAGTACAAAGAT